TATATATATATATACAGAAATGATCTAATGAGCACCGGTGCTCATCTTATCCTAAGCACCGATGAGTTGGCACATTAATTCATTGGTGGATAAAGATTTTGTGAGTTCCAATCCACCAATGAATTAATGTGCCAACTCATTGGTGCTTAGGATAAGATGAGCACCGGTGCTCATTAGATCATTTCTATATATATATATATATAATCATTGTCGACAATTGAAATACATACATATAGAGAGAGAAGAGATAAGATATAGTGAGAGAAAGGGAAATGGCAGATTTGTTTATTGAGCAGGCAAAGCAATATTCAGAGACAAGGCCCAGTTATCCACAGGAATTGTTCCAATTCATTGCATCAAAAACTCCATCTCATGATCTTGTTTGGGATGTTGGCACTGGAAGTGGCCAGGCTGCAGTATCTGTGAGTCTTTCTCCTCGAACTGCACAATTTTGAGCTATTTTTGTGTTTTCTTCACAAATTATGATCCGGGACCTAGGTTTCAAGCCCTAATCTCAATTACTCGATATGATCGTAAAAATCTCAATTTCATTGTATGTTGTAGTAGAAAAACAGACACTTCAAGTGGGATCAGAAAATTTTTAAAGCATTAAGACTCAATTTCATTATAGAGTTAATTCATTTGTAAACAATGGTTTGCACATAATGGATTATCCCTCTCACATAATGCGCGGGGTCTGCGTGTATTTAAAAATTTCGACAATGCGGTCCACATTCTCATTGTGAATAGTAGGTAAAAGATTCGGTAAAAAAATTCGGTACATGTAGCATCATCCTTCATTATATATCGACTTAATATGAACCTCTGTATTGTTTTCCAGTTGGCAAAGATCTACAAGAATGTGGTGGGCACAGACACAAGCCAAAAACAACTTGATTTTGCTGCTAAACTTCCAAATGTAAGATACGTATGTACACCTCCCAAAATGTCCGTTTCTGAGATTGAACACAGCATTGCACCACAATCCAGTGTTGATTTAGTGACCATTGCTCAAGCCATGCACTGGTTTGATCTTCCAACTTTCTACGACCAAGTGAAATGGATATTGAAAAAACCCAATGGAGTAATTGCTGCTTGGTGCTACACAGTACCAGAAGTCAACCCACAGATCGACTCTGTGTTTCAAAGATTTTACTCCGTTGACAGTCATCCGTATTGGGAGCAAGAACGGGATTTGGTTGATCTTAAATACAAAACCATTGATTTTCCATTTGAGCCCGTTGATGGAGTTGATCATACTGGGCCAATTGAATTCAAGGCTGAGAAATTGATGGATTTGGATGGATATTTCACATATATAAGATCATGGTCTGCCTACCAAATTGCCAAAGGAAAGGGTGTGGAGCTATTGACAGATGCTGTTTTAGAAAATTTTAAGGTTGCTTGGAATGCTGATGGGAAAAGCCAGAAGATTGTCACTTTTCCTGTTTATTTGAGGATTGGCAAAGTTGGGTTATCAAATTGAAAGACTACTCTGTCTCTCATCTCATTAATAAAATTTGATAGAGAACGACGTCTTTGTAATAGTTAGTTACTTCGATGAGTATTTCAATGTTCAAATAAAATAAGTTCCTAAAATTAGAAACGGAAGGCAAACTCAATGCCAACCAGATCTATATAGTCGATTGCAATGGCAGTTGACAGATTGTAAACATCTGCATTTATCAAAATGCTTCCTCTTCGTGCTAGTTTTATTATCCATCGAATTTTAACTATATATACTCCACAGGCAGCCTTCTATATTTATTGTAAGAATTCTTGTTATCTTACTCGGCCGTCAATTTCACAATCGAGTCTTCAAGACATTAAAAATCAAAGTTAGCTACACAGGTACAAAATATAGAAATTGAAAAAAAAAATGCTTAAATTCTCGAAGTCTTAGCAGCCATTCGTTCACTGCACGATTATTCTCTTGCTTTTCTTCGGCATTCAGAAGTATATTTCGAACTAGGGTCATGCTTGTTTCGAGCTTTTTCAATTCCTTTTCAACGCCCCGTGCCAATCCAAATCTGGCTCATAGCACAGAATCCCAACATCTAAACAAGTCTTTCGACCAAGTTGAAGAGAATTTGCTCTGCTGTGTTTAGTTATAATGCAAAAAATGTAATTAAATGATATGCATAAAGACTTTGGACTTTGGAGAGCTCACTTCTGCAATTCACAGTTTAATTGAAAACTTGACTAGGAAGCTGAGGATTGTCATATGCTTTTCATGTTTAGCCAACTGAAGCCTAGTTGAAGTCAACTCTACACAAATGAGGACATTAACAAAATGTTTGATCCACATTCTTACAAAAATTCGTTTTTTCAAAACTCTTTTCAACCGCACATTATTCAATAAAATAATATTACACGTAAATCCAAAATTTCTCCTTATCTTATAAACACATTTTCCATCAAATTACTATTTAAAATACATTTTCCAAATGTGCATCTAACAGGGTCTAAGATAACAATGTCTAATAAGTAAAAAACTGTCTTCCTTTCTCTCTTTTTTTCCAGTAATTTTGAGATCCATTACGTAAAAATGATTCTTTTTTCGGTTCAATTTAGTGCCATATCAACATGAAGATCCTACTCAAATAGACCATTAAAAACCCTTATTTCAAGAGATAGCGTTTAACAAGTGCAAAAAAATTTCCGAAGGACTTACCGAGCAACATTGTAAAATTTGACCCTATTTTGTTGTCGAACAATAAAATTTCGAGTCACCTTTTAACAAAAGGGTACTTGTACCCAAAATCGACACACTCAATTATTATCCTAAATAACACTTGCATTGACTAATTTGATGGGTTATGATTCTATTTAGGTGGTTCATAATGTAAGATCTGGACTCAATTTAGTGGTGCTCGCGAAGTTGCGTTATCTCCTTATCTTAAAAATAAATACAAGAAAGTAAACTCATTTTAACACAGTTTATTAAAGTCATAACTTGACTCGAGTGGACTCAAGACATTTATTCATAATCCACATGGAATCCACTTCAAATGATAGACCATATAATACCATCCATACTATTATTATCCTCTTATTAAAGGAGAAGCACTGAAGATAAAAAAATATTTACAAAGTGCTAAAATTGTACTTTTGTACTTCTCCATAAATATTTATTGGCCCAACCCAGCAAACAATACCCCTCACCTCCTCTCTCTTCTCTCTTTCATCTTCTTCCTATTATCCCAACGGAACCCTACATTCCATTTAGTAAAACCCAAATTTCACTCTGCGATTCTCCACTTTTTTCCGGGTGAAAACCCGTAAAAGCATTCATGTTCAATTTACGTATTTTCAGTAGAAAAAAAGAAAATTCGCTCGGTCATGAAGTTTGAAGATTATTTTTCTGTCTCCAGTGAGTATTCTCCTCCACATTTAAGAAATGAAAATATCATTTTTAATTTGAAGTTTCGATTTACTCTGTTTTAACGTTCTTAAATTTATTTTTTTATCATTATTTTGCCTCCAGGGGGTATTGAATAGATGTTTATTTTATGATTTTTTTTATTTTAAATTTTTTCATCATTTTCTTGTAAGTATTGCATCCCCTCAATACTATCACTAATTTATGTTGGAATTTTCCACTGTGTTTATGTGAATGTGTGTGAAAGTTAGATGGAAAGTAAAATGATGGATTATCCCTGGCGGAAAAAATGTTCATCATGCATTTCATATGCTCTGGGAAGCCGTTGGTGAAATGGGTTCTGCTATACATTTTAATAGCAGGAGTTGAAATAAATCTCTTTGGTTGAAAGTGGATGAGTATTTTTTTTGTGCTTACTAACACACACTGATAAAATAGGCATTCTTATGTTCTGTATTTGCAGTTTCATACATTTATATGTCTGCATGATTTGGAAATAGTTATTTAGAGATAAATAGGTGGTTTTTTGGAGAAAAGATAAATGGACATTTTAGATGTCCAAGGTAGAATTTCAGGAATGCTGAAACGTGCGGTGGATTTATTGAGAAGATTTGGAGTCTAGATTGCAACTTAAATGTATTTAGTTTTGAAATATGTTAGGTCATGAAAATAAATAAGAAGTTATTGCATGGCTTTTAATGCATATGTTCCATGGTGGTCAAATGTTATAAATAAGTGATTTTCTTTCCATGTGAGGGGTATTGCATAATTTAAAAATGTGTAATCAGGTACCGGTGCATTTTATGAATAACCCTCGAGACTAACCTATAAAATAATTCTAAATAGTATAAAACATAAAAATATGTTCATAATAAAACATAAACTATATTAAAAGTCCATAGTAAAAAAATTAATAATATTAAAAGTCTAACTTGCAACAAATATAAAATAGATTTAAAGTAGTAAATAACTCTCGACAAATGAGGCGTAAGTCTCGATAAATTGAGGTTTACGCCTCACTGATAATCCTTAAGTCATAAGATTTTAAGGCATTTTATGGAAGCCTCACGTGAGACGTGATTCAAGTCGTAGCCTTAAATAGCTTTTTTAAACAATGGGTGGTGAAGCTTCGTGTTTTTTAGCACCCTGTAACCAGTTTGTTGGAAACATTTTAAATTGGGGAGACATGAAATTTTAGTGGAATAGGTAATTTTATTCCATGAATTAGATTCAGATTTTTATTTGTGATTTCCCTACTGCGTCAAAAATATATTATATATGTGGGTGGGAAATGTGTTTTGTATTTTTTTGAGTCATGCGAATTGCTTAAATTGGGGCTCGGATAGGTTTAAGCGTCGAGAAGCATCTAATTTGTTATTATAGGACTGTTTGTCTAATTGAAAACAATTACTGTTACGTGTTAACTTTTCATTCTATAGCAAGTTAAATTATTGTTATGTGTTACATTTCTTTCTATAGCAAGTTATCTTTTAAAGAAATGGTAGGAGGTGCAGTCTGACCTTTTTTTTTTCTTTTTTTTTTTTTTCACTTTTTATGAAAGGGATTGATTTCATCGAGATCCGAGTGTGGTTTCGTATCAACTTGAAATTTTCTTTGTTATGCCCTCCAAGGAAATGATGAAAGATAAAGGGTTGGCAGTTATGTTTCTAGTGAAGTCAGTTTCTTTTCCTACTCTAATTGTTCCTTTATTAAGAGCATGTTTGTTTATCCACAAGTAAGCAATTTTTCCCCAAGTTATTCCTACATTGAAAAATACTTAGAATTTTTGTTAAGCCACTAGATTGGTGCTTCTTACTACAAGCTTATTTTTCGGTTAGTGCGTTATTTAAAGCTGCGAAAGAGAGTAGGAACACATGATTTAGTAGAATAGTGAGAAAGGGAGGTTTTTGCTGGCTATATAAATTTAAAGCTTGTTCGGTAATACTAAAAATCAAATTAAAATTGAAAATGTAGCCGTTATTGAGTCTCACCGGTCTAATAAAAGTCAACAATAACGGCTAATTTTTCAATTTTAATCTGATTTTAATCTCTACCAAACACACTCTTATTCCCTTTGTGTGATTAGGAGATTCTGGACACTATTGGATTTTTTTATGGTCAGTGTTTCTAATATCTGGGAAAAATTGAACTTCACAGTTTACCATTTGGAGCTAGTACTATGCTTGCTCTTGAAAATGTAAAAGATGTGTCAAAAGATTGATGAAGAATGGGAATTTGTCTAACATGGATGGAGGAATGGTGTGAACAGGAGGAATATAGTTGTCTTTCTCAATTCAAGTAGTAATAGTAAGAAAAAAATGAATTCATATGAGAATGATATAAATTCATCTGGGGCCTGTTTGAGCTCCATTTTTGGTGTAGAATGTATTTTGGAATAGTAGATTGATGGAGAATGTGTGGTTAAAAGTGAAGAAAACGTTTTTGGGTTGGATGTAATATTATTTTATTGAAGAATATGTGGTTGAAAAGAAGAGAGAGAAAAATGTATTTCGAAAAAAATGGGGATCAAACAATCTCCTAGTTTTCTAGAAGCAATAAGATTAGAAAAAGATTTTCTAGCCATTATGAAAGATGATATGTGACTGAAAAGAGGAACTTACATATCAGTGGAAGAATTTTATTTAGTATTTTCTATTATTGCGCCTGTCTTTATATATGGATTCCCTTTAATTCAGGTTTACTGGCATGTTGTCTCCCATCAATGATTGAGAGGTGTTTGCTTCAGTCTAACTAATGGGTGCTTTTGGAATTGGAAATTTCGTGTAAAGGAATGACTTCTGTAGCATGGATAGAATTCTTTTACCTTTGAAAGGGGATTGATTTCACTATGATCTGAGTTTGGTTTCCAATATCAAATTGAAACTTTCATTGGTTATACTCTCCAGTCTCCAAGGAAATGATGAGAGATAAAGGGACCATTGTAGAAATTTTCAGGAATGCTGAACTTAGTTGATGTATTGAGAAGATTTGGTGTAGTTAACTTAGATGTATTTAGTTTGGAAATTTGTTAGGTCAAGGAAAATGCGTAAGAAATTTGAAAAAATATCTGCATGGACTATTAATGTCTTTAATGCTTCATGAGTGGAAAAGTCAACTTGCACTTGCTATATGGTTAGGTGCTCTAAATAAGGGTTTTTATTTATGTATGAGGGTTAGTGAAGCTTTGTGGTTGTTGGCTTCCCTGTAAGCAGTTGTAGAAGGTAATTTTTGTTTCCTGGTTTTGATTCAGAAGTTTATTTTTTTATTTTCCAACCACGTCAAAGATTGTAGTTTTATATGTGGGTTATAAACATGGAAAGTGCATTTAGTACTTTCTCTGAGTCATGATTTGTATAAATTAGGGCAGAGGTAGGTTCTGAGGTTTGAGAGCCATATGCATTTAGTTTTTTCTCTGAGTCATGATTTGTATAAATTAGGGCAGAGATAGGTTCTGAGGTTTGAGAGGCATATCGTTTATTTCTATAGAATTGTGTTGGCTGATTGAAATTGAAACAATTACTGTTAGGTTTTAACATATCTTTCTATAGCAAGTTATCATTCAAGAAATAGTACGAGGTGTGGTCCAACATTTGTTTACTGTTTTTCCAAAGGGATTGATTTCAATGTGATCTGAGTTTGGTTCAAAAATATCAACTTGAACTTTGCTACGGGATGGCAATTAGGCTCACCTGTGAAGTCAGTTTCTTTTCTACTCCAACTGTTTCTTTATTAAATCATTTTCGAAACATGAGTAATTTTTGGGGAAAATTGCTTACATGTGGAGGCATTCTTGCTGAAAAGCGTCCTTTTCATCTCATGGGAGTTGGTGAAAGCAGCAAAAAGGAGGTTGGAACACATGATTTTGTAGGGTGGTGTGAAAGGAGGTTTTTGCTGGGCATAAGTTTATTCTTTCGTGTGATTGTTAGACTCTGGACATTTTGTTGGATTATTATTATTATTATTATTTTATTTATTTATTTATTTTTGAGTCAGGGTTACTAATATCTTTGAAAGGTTGGATTTCACAAATTATCCTGTGGAGCTGATATCATGATTTCTTGTGAAATAGTAAAAGATGTGTCTAAAGATTGCTAAAATTTAATGGTGAAATGAGGAGATGAAGAAAATAGGAATGTAATATGGCTCCTTTGGGAAAAGGCGAAATTCTCTAACATGGATGGAGGAATTCTCAAACAGGAGCACGCTAGAATTTTAGATTGTTTTTCTTCATTCAAGTGGTGACAGTGTAAGAAATATCTAAGAATTCATGTACCAACACTATAGAATTTCAACTAGTTTTCTGGAGGCAATAAGAAAAGGAACAGTGATCTTATTTACAAGCCATTCTGAAAGATGACTTGTAACTGAAAAAGATCTTACATAACAGAGAAAGCAGTTTAGCTTAGAATTTCAATACCACACCCGTCTTTAAATATGGGTTCCCTTTTATTTGGGTATAGTGACTTGTTATCTCACATCAGGATTGAGAGGTCTTTGCTTCAGTCTAATTAACGGGTACTTTCTTGCATGATAATTTATATTTAAAGGATGACTTTTGTAGCATGGATGGAGCTAGCCTTTCGGGCCTGTTTGTTTGACAAGGAATTCAGTCAAAAATATAAGCTGATGCTTACGATCATTATACCAGATGTTGCCTATTTGAGATAGTAACATCAGCTAAGCCCTACCATTAGTTTAAGAATTTGGAATCGGCTACATGAATCCTTTTTTCGCCACTCTATTTGGGACATTTTGAATCTATAGAAAGATGAACCATGGTTTAAAAAGGTAGTACAAGGCGTACCTCAAACACGTATCCTCTATGCCTCAGGGTTCTTATTTTGGTATTTTTTTTGAGGCAGGTGCCATATATGTTATTTAAAAATAAAATGATTTTTACTATGTTTTCAGTGTTAAAAATTTGACTTTAAGCGATAAAGCTAGAGGCTTTAATTGAACCCATCCTCTCAAATAAAAAAAAAAAAAACAAGAAACCTAAACATATGGAGAGTTCTTTAAGATTGATTATTTTTGAGTTATTTTATTTATATGTTTTTTTAAAAAAAATTATAATTTTTTGACGGATTTTTTTGGTTTGTTTTCAGACTTATGCGTCATGGAACAAAAACGTCTCAATACCTAGTTCCTCCTTTTTAAACTAGGGAAGGTCCAATGCAATTAAATATTTTGCAACTACTTCAATCTATGTTAAGTTTGGTCTACTAATGAATTAAGGAATGGGAAAGAAATTTCAACTTTCATGATGGCAATTGTGGTCAATAGTAACTTAATTCTAGGAATATAAATACTCATTTTATTTTGATTATTTGAATCTAGGGATTAACGAAATTTCAAGATGTTCATTTTGCTACCATCACTTGTAAATTATGGAGAGCAGCCTCTATCATTTCTGTGTTTGATAATGTTTCTCCGTATATTTGTATCAGTTTTTCCACCATATCTTGCGGACGATTTGCTTCACCTATATCATTTGTGTTGATTTGATTCTCCTCTATGCTTCCTTTTATATCTCTTTTTTCGTTAAACAAAACCGTATAGTTCTCGAAAGAGCGAAGGGCTTGAAACTGAGATTTGAGAAATGGTGGCTTAGACTGATCGTGATGGTGGTTAATGTCATTATCACACAGACACATTTCCTGCTTACCATGGACAGATACGATATCTTCAAGGCCTTAAAAGTTTACTGAATATAAAAAATTTCCAAGCTCAAGATACCAAATATTTGAAATTCTCAATTTCTTGACTCTGATATTGAATCAAATATGATAATGCTACCATATGTAATGTACCTCTGTTTCATTAGGACACCTTTCCTACCAAACAGGATCTCATAGTTATGTCATTATATTGTTTTTGGGTTCAATATCGCTGTGTTTGGCTTTCTCAGCTAGACAATTGATGAGGTATCTTCATTATCCAATAGTTCTCTTTTTGAATATGAGCTTTGTATTATTTTAGATCATAATTGGGACATGCTTCTAATATATTCATTTTAATTACAAGAGTTGTCTCAACTGGGAACTTACTTATTTACCTCTTGATTATAACTGCAGTGAACTGTTAAATAAGTCATGTGTTTATTGGCAGAGCCCTTCACTTGATTTGGCTTTTTTTGCATTTTGGACAGATGTAATTAGCAGCAACGCAATGGACTTTTATGCAACCAGCCCTGGACCAGTTGATGAATCTGTTTTGTATGATCAAGATAAGCATGTCTCGGCTGCAGTTTGGGAGGGACAGGTGTCACTATGAAATAACTTTCCTCTCTTATTTTTGCTTGTAAAACTTTTATAACATGCACATGATAATTGAATATTAACAGGAACGGGGCGCACTTAGATGTCATGAACATACTTCAAAGCTTGACCGGTGGATGCTCACCGAGAAACAAATCGAATTAGTCAAGAAAGCTGGATTTGGCTACTTGAGATTAATACCTGCAATCAGTCTTGATAACCCACTTATATCCGCTCTAGTTGAGAGATGGAGAAGAGAAACAAACACATTTCATATGACCGTTGGGGAAATGACAGTGACTCTGGAAGACGTTGCTTACTTGCTTGGGCTTCCAATTGACGGTGAACCTGTTATTGGTGTAACATATACGGCATGCGATGCACTGTGTGTTAAGTATCTGGGGAGAGTACCAGATTCTGGGTACGCAAGTGGTGGAATGGTGAAGCTTAGTTGGCTGAAAGAGACCTTCTCCCATTGCCCCGAGAATGCCTCAATAGAAGATGTTGAGTTTCATACTCGTGCTTACCTTTTATACCTTGTTGGTAGTACAATTTTTTCCACCACCACTGGTAATAAAGTTCCTGTCATGTACCTTCCACTGTTTGAGAATTTCGATGAAGCTGGTAAGTATGCATGGGGTGCAGCAGCATTATCCTTCTTGTACAGAGCCCTTGGAAATGCCTCCCTAAGATCTCAAAGCACAATTAGTGGCTGTTTAACACTGCTACAGGTGAATTGAACCTGGCCTTCACTTGCATCATTAGTATCTTTAGCACTCAAGAAATACTAAGGACTCTGGTAGCCTTTTTGTTTTTTTATCCTGAAGGTTTTTTGGTTAAATTTTACTTTTGAATAGTGTTTTGTTTTTATCTAGTGCTGGAGTTACTATCACCTGAACATCGGTCGACCCAAACTTCATCACGACCCAATCCATGAATGTTTTCCATTTGTCCTTAGGTGGAAAGGGAAACACAGCGGTCCAACATCAAATCGTGATGTTGCCTTCTATCGTAAAGCTTTGGATTCGTTACAACCTTCTGATGTGAGTTGAAATATTATTTGTGTCCAAACTTCCCCTTTTCTTTCATTTTGCGCCAAAATGATGGAGTTGATGTCATTTTGATACCCAGGTCGACTGGTGTCCTTATATAAACATCAGTCACACTGTTATCCCAGAGTTTATTTTAAATCAACTCATTCTTGGAAGATCAAAGACAATGTTGATTTGTTTTGACAAGGCAGAAAGACACCTTCCAGATCGTTGCTTAAGGCAGTTTGGCATGCATCAAACTATACCGGAAGAAGTCCAGAGATGGGAAAGGAAGACTCGTGGGGTTGATGGTGGGGTAGATCTATCAGGGAAAATGGAATCGGAACTTAATGAATGGTCATATCGTCGTTTTCATATTGTGGAGGCTGAAGAAGATCTGGATGAAAGTGAATACAAGCACTGGTACATGAAAATTACGCGCAAATTAGTGGGCAGGCCCCTACCCTTTTCATCAGAGTTTCAGAGAATGGTAAGCCTCCATGTGATGTTTTGAACAACTAATAGCTTGACTGGCATATCTTTCATTCTCGTTTTTTCTTCATTGTAGCTCATCACATTTAACTTGCGTTACAGGATGCTGCATTGAGGGACATTTCACATCTAGCAGATACCCTCTCGACTCACGGGATGGATGATCTACAGATACAGTCAGTGGCAAGAATCAGGTATATTGCACATGAATGTTTGAGGGACCATGCCAGAAGTTCGACAGTTGTCATAGCGGATCCACAAAATGATGTCGGGAAAAGGATAAGAGGGAAGGAAAGAGTTAGGAGGAGGGAAATGGGTAAACGCAAACGGAAAGATGATCCTGAGCAATATTATGCAGTTAATATGAACGTCCATTCCCAGTTATATGATGATGATCATGCACAACTATATCATGTGGATGGTGATATCGATAATAATCAAGAACTATCCATTCCGGCTAATGCAGGTGATGACGGAGAGCTGTCTCCTATGGCTCGGGAAGTTGATGGAGGACAGCTTTGTGATGTAACTGACAACGTTGATTGTGACATAACAGAAGGGGTGGATGTATTGCCCTCGGATCATGCGGCTGAAGAAGATGATAGCAAGCTTTCTCGTCGCTCAGATGAAAAAATGTTGCCTGGTTCCCATGCTACTGTTGATGTCGCACCCCAGTCAACCCTCAACAACAACGAGGATGTCGCCCGGCAGAATGATTACAGTGTTTTGGCTTAGAGAAGAGAGTTGACAACTTCAACTTTGAATTGTATATAATTTAGTTTCTAGGTTATTAACGATGAGACTCTTGTTCTAGTTTTGAACTATTTGTCCATCTATTGTAGAAAAAAAAAAAAAAAAAAAAACACGCTTCTGAATGATTTGATTCATGATTTTAGGGGATTTTTTTTTTTTTTTGTTACCAAATGTGAGTTAAAACATTTGTTGTTCACTAAGTAGGACGCCGAATAATAAATAAAAACTTGAAGAAAACCCTTGAAATTTTTAACATTTACCATTATAATCCATAAAATAATTACCTGAGCTTTTAGCTCAAAGAAAAAAGTTAAAATTATGAAAAGATCGCGTGATGCTTGATTAATGCTGTTTATTCTCCCTCAGCCATGTTTAGAGGTGTAAAATAAATTAAGTTATCGTTGTCCAACACGATCCATCTCTCCATATGCATACGGTCGGATAGTTACTAAAGAAACTTACAATGGAATCCTAAATCTTTCATCACTTCTTATTAGCTGAATAGCATTTTCCAAACCTTGACATTTTAACTTTCTGCCTTCACATTGTTGATCGAGGAAACAGTAATTAATAACTATCATAGCTAAAAGTTTTTCCTTTTCCCTTTACTTTTCACTTTTTTGGGACGGAGAGAAAGGGAGAGTAAAAGTTCTTTGTGCTTAGATAGACTTTTACGGGATTTAAAATCTCATCCACACTCGCAAAGTTTCCCACAAAAAGTGCAAGTGTAATCACACAAATAATAGACAATGAAACCTGAAGAGTTTAGAAGATTACTGAAAGACACTTGTATAGGCTGAGGCTGAGGCTGAGGCTGCATTATGAGTTATATGGATACGGAGCTTTTAAGCAAAACCAAACAAGGACAGAAAAAATCAGATGAGCTTAGAGGAATAACTTTTCTACTAAGAGATGCTCGTATGGGCTGCATTGTGCTTGAATTGGATACACAGAAACAAACTACGGCTGAGACAAGAAGAAAAATATCCTTAACACAACATATTTGCCAACTATTCCACAAGAAAATAATATTCCAGATCCCAAATATAAATATATAAAAGTCAACAATTGTATTTTCCCCGAGCTCCAACTATCAACAAAATAAAAAAGAGCAGGATATATTAGCTGAATCCAATCAGAGAAATGGCACAAAAGTCACAAATTTGACTCCAAGAACCATAAATCAAACAAATGGTTTAACATACTCTCCATAAATATAGATCATGTAACCTTCCATTTCTCATTCACAGGCTCAAAATTTACATCAGCAAACACTCAGATTACTATTCACGTTGATACAAGTCAACAAAGCCTATCAACATTAAGCTAAATGACATTCCAAAAAAGAGAGAAAAGAAGAGAGAAGTAAGAAAAGATCAAACCAGAGAATAAGCTAAATTCAGAGCCATTTCTTGTATCAACCAACATGGAAAGGGCTAATTTCCCCAGTTCTCAGAGAATTAGCAATTTCATCAGCAACAGTTAAACAAGAAACTACCCAACCACTCAGTGCCATCCATATCATCTTTGCCATCCAAATTGTCATATTCCATGACATTGCCATTGTCTTTTTGTCCCAAATCTTTTAAAGTTTACACTTTTATTCGACAAAAAATCAAAAGAAATTGAAATTCTTGCTTATTTTAAAGCAAGCCCATATCAACAACAATCGCTGAGCTCCATTTAGCAAATTCTAAACCCTGAAAAAATCATTCCAAAGAAGCAGCACACAATTTCTTGATTCTCTTGAAATGGAATGGATAATCAGAGCCCAGCTGAAATTTTCTGCAGTTGAGACTTGAGAACTACAAAATCGTTCCCAAAAATTCTTGCTCCAATAAACAGACAAAATCACAATCCACCAAACTCTTTCTTGATTCTCCAAAGTGGTATCTATGGATTAATACAGAAACGAGTAGATGGGTTGAATTTGGAGGAAGGAAATCTCGGGGTCTGCCCGTCCGTGGAATAGATTGGATTTTGCTGACTATTTTTTGGACTGTACGAAGTCGGTCATCGTGTACTCAATATGGAGTTGCAATAATATAATGCATCAGCAGTCCCCCCAAAATATCTTGAATATTCATATTTCCCCCTCAAGTTTAAATATTTTCAATCTAACCCCATGAATGACATTTTAAGTTTCAAGTTTGAATGAAGATTTTGATTTTCTTTATCGTGAACAAAATTTTCGATTATAAAACTAGTATAACCTCATTTTTAAAAATAAATTATTCTTTTTAATAAAAGAAATCCGTATTCTTCCTCCCCTTTTCGTCATTGGATTATAGATGTCGAGTTGTCAATCATAACAGACATAATTAGGGATAACTTCTATTTTATTTATTTATTTAGTTTTACTAAAATAAGAGTCTTTTATTATTTTGTCACTCGGAGTCTTGTTTTCAATTTCATTGAAGTTATTTTTTCGAGTGGTCACGATTATGGGTTCATTTATTTTTGATTCGTATATAATACACATGTTTTGTATTTTACTAAATTTTAACGCGGGTCTTCAAGATAGTTAAATTTGAAGCATATGAGGTTGAAACATAGTCGACATTGATTCTCAAGAATTTTGCATGCATTGAGCTTATGTTTCAAAAATATTTCGTAACGTAATTTTTTGCAGCAACGTTCGATATTCAACAATTAAAGTGGAACATGTTTAAAAGTACTTTTTTAAACTTAAAAGTTGATCAACTATTATCTTTTTGTCCATGTAGCTAGCCACAACTATTAATTTAAAATGAAAATGCTTGACCATCTATGTGTCCAAGCGATCAAGCCACGTGTACTATTATATTCGAATTAAACTGAAAGCATGATAAATAAATTATTTTTAATAATTCATCACATACCTTTGTTTGATTTCCTTTGCTACAGTACACAATTTAAATGGCGGCTTCATCTTTGGGTTTCAGATCACTGTTTAAGTATGCTTCACCATACCCGACTGACGGTCACGTAAGTATCGGCCTCAATTTTTCGCGTGCATTTGTATATATGCGGTTTTTGTGTCTTTTATGCATATATATATGTTTGTATCCATGTGCATCTGAAGAAGAAGGGTTCTTTGGATGTTTATGTGGGGTGAAATTTGAAGGGTTTTGTTTGCATTGAATTGAAATCGTTGTGAATTTAAGAAAGTTTTAAGCTTTGTGCTTCGATGGGCTTGTTCTAAATAATTGTAGGCTTGTTTTATTCGAGTAACATGAAACCCACTTAAATTTTGATTTTAATTTCTGTTTTCACACCAGATTTTTCCGTGTTGGCCATAAAAAGGTGTGTCTGTATGTGGAAAATTTTGAAAAAGAAAATAAGTTATTTTCGAATTTATGTTTTCCTTTTTTCATTTAGAGAGTTAAGAGAGCCATAGAAACTTGGGAATTTTTTTTATTTAATCAAGTTTCTAGTATTAATAGGTTTAATCAGGATTTTTAGAGTGGATTTTGCTATTTGACAGAAAAATCGTAATAGATGCAGTGACATAATTCCAATTGGCAATAGATGATTTGATGGGGACGTTGACTGTGTTTAAAACAGTCCGATGCCACGTGACATTATATCAAGAATTATGTCAATCATTATATTGTTGTAGCATGATTCTTTTAGAGTTTCCATATGTGTTATTTGAACAATGTTGGTTTCTCGCCAGTTTTTTAGATGAATCTTCTATTATGTGTAAGAGCATAAATATAAGTAGAAATCTTTAATGGAAAATAGTTTCTGTTTTTTGACTTGTAACTTAGAGTTTTCTTTCCACTTCGCGTACTAACGAGATAAAATTCGAAAGTAAACTTTTGAACCTATTTGTTCCTAATTCAATGTCGTACTGTTTTTAGGGTTTTGTGACTGGAAATTGCCCTTTGGCATATGGGTGCAAAACAACGGTGCTGGGTTGCAAAAATCACTTGCTGAATGGTAAGAGCTTCTCATTGAATTGCTTGAAAGACAAAGAGATGGATGTGAGTGCATCGGCTTTGGTTGATGGTATTGCCGAATGCTCAGATGGTTAGTCTATTTTATTTATTTGTGGTACTTAACATACATGTACGTGTGTGCATTTGGTTTTTCATTGTAGCAGCTGGTACTTAATATAATAATTGATGGCAGAAACAGAAGTGATGGAGCTGAGTGTCCCAGGGGAGCCAAGTGTGTCAACAATGTTGATTAATTTTGGTAATGAGTTTGATCCTTATGATGCCTTAAGTACGCCTCTTTATCAAACAGCAACTTTTAAGCAGGTAATTTTTTATTCCACATGTTGAAAAAATGCATTTTTGTTTTTAATATGCAGAACATGAACTCATGGGCCCCATTTTGCTGTGTAAATTGAGAAATTGTGTTAATTCCCTAATTCCTAAATTATTTTTCATCACCGAAGGAAGACTTCTAATTGTTTATTGGCTAAATCTTTAATGTAACAATCGATTAGAATTTCCATTGATATGACGAGTGATATTGTGAAGCAAATTTTGGTATTTCTCATGCATTATATGGTAGATAAATTGCTATTTATTATACACGAAGTAGAGATAAATCAGGAAATTTCACGCAGAATGATAAACTACGAGAAATTAGTCCTGCAATCTGGTCCGTTCTTAATAATTCAAATACAACCTCCTAGATCTTTCCACAACAAGAAAAGTTAAATGCTAAAATAGCAATGAGAGTTCATTACTCTGATCTTGACCTTGTTGATAAGGGGTTCGACATAAATTAATTTCAAATTATTTTTCCAGATTTTGATCCATGTTTTCTACCTTGACTCTTGCAGGGGCACTACACATGATTCTAAGATTCCTCGTCTCTCAGCTGATAGGTCTTTCTAGAAGTTTGTATAACTTTGAACTTTAGGAGCAAAAATATTCATTTTTGAATTCTGAATTAATGTTTTGCGAATTTCTTTAACTTTGAGAAGGTTTCCTTCGATCGTTTCATAAGTTTACAGTTATTTTTTGTATTAAGCCATCTGGTACTATTCTTCACTCTTAGTATATAAGCATCTTTATGTATACTATCTCTGCATGCTTTTGCTGACAGATGCCCTAATATCTTTCTACCTTTCTATTTATCCTGGAAAGCATTCATGGTGTAGTAAATTTCTAAAATTGACATTTGATTTGTCCGATTACCTTTTGCTGATTGATGCCGTAGTTTCTTTCTTTCTTTCTATTTATCCTGGAAAACATGCACGGTGTTAGTAAATTTGACATTTGATCCTTTTGATGACCTTTACTGTTATGCAGCCTTCAGCAGTAGAATATGGACCTTATGACTATACAAGAAGTGGGAATCCAACTCGGGACACCTTAGAAAGGTCTCTGCTATTTCGCCATGTATAACGTGGTTGGTGCAGTTATTCAGATGGTTATTATTGCTACCCACTTGCCCCTCTTAAATATATACTCTTATGTTCTCAGACTTCTTGCAAAGCTTGACAAGGCAGATCGAGCTTTATGCTTTACTAGTGGAATGGCTGCCTTGGCAGCTGTGACTCGTCTTATTGGGACAGGTACCTTTTTATTTCCCTATTTAAGAGTTCAGGGTTGCACATCTGGTTATAAGGTCTCATCCTTGTTCACTGAAATTTAATTAGCATCCTTCTCCAATCTCCACAAATTTTCATAAGGAACGTGTAAAAACATATGCTTTAAGAATTATCTTTCGGAGATTTGCGTCGGTATTTAGTGAAGATTCTTTTTTCTTGATGAAAGGTGAGGAGATTGTTGCTGGAGATGACATGTATGGTGGTTCAGATCGATTGTTATCGCAAGTAATTCCAAAGACTGGAATTGTGGTCAAGTCAGCATTGCCTTTTGTTTTGAAATGACACTTTTAGCGTCATTAAGTTTGAAATCTTAGATTACAATAATTGGTGCAGGCGTGTGGATATGACTAACCTTGTTGAGGTTGCGTCTGCAATTGGCCCCTGGACAAAGCTGGTGTGGTTAGAGAGTCCAACGAACCCACGCCAACAAATTTCTGACATTCGTGTAGGTCATGCTTAATTTTAGATTTCAGTTTTACCATCTGTTGCTTTATATCCATCTATACTGGTGAAATAAGTGGGGGTAACTTATTATAGGTTTCCATAAATAAAAACACAAAAATAATCTCAGGTTTTGACTTCTCCGGAAGATTGTTGCTTTCTAATATAATAGTACCCTTTTGGGAAGTGAATGAATTAAAATAAATGATTATAAAATGTGGGTGGTTTTACGAAATATGTGGATAAAAGTACGTTTGACCAGAAATGATTAAACTTGGAATACTACTCTTCTCATTTGATTCTAATCCAGAAAATAGCTGAGATGGCTCATGCTCATGGTGCTCTTGTATTGGTCGACAATAGCATCATGTCTCCTGTGTTGTCTCTACCCTTGGAACTGGGAGCAGGTATTAATTGTTTTTGGGTTCCTGTAAATATCAAGGTTACAAAGTGTGAATCTGCTTTCAATACTAATTTATCAATCTTTTAGATATTGTGATGCACTCGGCTACTAAATTCATATCTGGTCACAGTGATGTCATGGCTGGCGTTCTTGCTATTAAAGGAGAAAGGTTTGGCTTTAAAGTAGTTTATGCATTGATACCCAGAATATGCTTTCTCTATGACATTATGTAGCTGTTATCTGTTCCTTTTTCTAGTTTAAGGTGCACTTTCCATGAATCTAATGAGTATTGGTTTGTTGCAAAAGTTGTTGAGTAGATTATCTGCTTAATTGGCATTGTCTCATGTGTCAGGAGACTGGGGAGGTGTCTGCAAGAATTTAAACATTTTACTGTGAAAGAAGATTTAAAGACCATAAGAATGTCTATAATTTTTTAAATGAGAGTTGTTACTATCATAATAATTTACCTTCGAGGACGTCTGTATCAGACCAATCCGACTGGTTTTGGTTGGCAATAGTCTAGTTATAGACGGTTTTGGTTCTGGGGGATTTTTTCTTGGGAATCGGTTATTGCAACATCGGATTACGAATGAGCATGGGAATGCCTATTTCATTCAGTTGTATTCTCACATCCTAAGCTTCACCCAACATATTTATATATTAACATCTATGGATTTGGACGTATCCATAATATCTGCCATTTCATTAGACCATGCCGTTTGCTTGCTACTTTGAGGATTTAACTTTTAATTTTGTACTCATTAGTTTGGCGAAGGACTTGTATTTCATACAAAATGCTGAAGGCTCAGGATTGGCTCCATTCGACTGTTGGATCTGTTTAAGAGGCATTAAAACTATGGCCTTGCGTGTTGAGAAGCAACAGGTTCCATTTAAACCTTTTCTTCTTGTTTGTAAAATGATTGTTTTGGCATTGATGTCCTATCATGTTGTATTGCTTCTCTTTGTTTTTCTGTTGTGCACCAAATATACGTCTTTTTGTTGGTCAATGGCTTATCCAGGATGTGTTTAGTGGAAGACATAGCTTGGGTCCATTTCTCATTAAAATCGTCGCTTGCAATCCTAAGAATAATAAATTTTTTTTAGGCGAACTTGTGTGCTATTTCAAAATTTTAAGACACTGCCACACCCTGCCCTCAAACACTCCCCCGTAAAAAATGGAAGAATGGAAATATTTCTTGCCCACATTAGCTATCTAGCTAATTTTCTGAGAAAAAATATGTGCTCCTGTTTGGTTTGGATTAAAATCCAATTAAAATCTCAAATCAAAATCAACAATCAATTTTAACCATGAATTTCATGGACCCACAACTTTTCAAGTACACATTTATCAACTTTTATCAAAATCTGATTTTAATCTCTATCAAACAGATTATTATTACTTTTGCCTTGTGATGTTCGACAGTTTTTACTGAATGCTTTATGTAGGAGAATGCCCAAAAAATTGCTGAATTTCTCGCCTCCCACCCACGGGTCAAACAGGTTAATTACGCTGGTCTTCCTGGCCATCCAGGACGATCTTTACACTATTCTCAGGTACTGTCATTAGACAATACTTTTAATTTGTACTCTCGTTATATCAAGCGTAGAACAGCCAAAAACAATTTTTGTATCTATCTTCTCTGATCTTATACTTCTTTCAGGCAAAGGGTGCTGGATCCGTCCTCAGTTTCCTTACGGGGTCGTTGGAACTTTCTAAGCATGTAGCTGAGACTACCAAGTACTTTACCATCACCGTCAGTTTTGGTAATTTCTATTCAAAATCGTACTTTTGCACAAAATTTTGAAGTTGAACTTCCAATTTCTTTGTTTCTTTATCTGGTAGATGACATTCATTTCACGACTGCAGTATTTCAGTGATAATAAGGGCCTGTTTGTAATAGCTTATGCTTCTACTTTTGCTTTTTGTAAAAGAGCTTCTTGCAGAAACCACTTTAGGCCCGCTTATTCTAAAAGCTCTTTTAACATGACAAAATACTTCTATAAATTATCTGAACAGGCTCGAAATCCCTGCCAAACGGGTCTTAAGATATGTGTTTCACTTAGCTTTGTTTCTCATGTAATTGTAGGTAAAACTAACAGTTCTTCAACATTTTATGTGTAGTAGCATAAGATATGTTCCAAGTTATTGTGTACCTTTGTTCGACTCACAGATTTATTGTTTTCAATTGGCAGGAAGTGTCAAGTCCCTCATAAGCTTGCCTTGCTTTATGTCTCATGCAGCCATACCGGCTGCAGTGCGCGAGGCCAGAGGTTTAACTGAGGATCTCGTCCGTATATCTGTAGGAATTGAAGATGTCAATGATTTGATTTCTGATTTAGACAATGCACTCCGAACTGGACCTGCATAAAGTCATTAAGATTCAGAATGCCGGATTTTCATCTTCATGCAAATTTGATTGATGTCTAGTTTTCTGTGATTCGAATGCTTAATAGATGAATGTGATTTCTGGGTTTTGATAATATTTAATAAGAATGATGTGCCTACTTAGTTGGATTACGTACTTTTGAGTCTAGTTTGGGGCTTCTATCCGAGCCTCAAATTGCCCGTACATGCCAAAATTGCATCTAAACTTCAAATAGTAACATACAATCAACCTCAAAATATAACCTCCCGGCGTACCTTTGATTGGTTGAGCAGAGCCCTTCCACACGGGACTCTTGGATCACTATGGCTGACTTTTGTCTCTGTTCGACCATATGCTCATGAGCAGAATTTTAGCTACAGCCTTCCTTCACATACCTTTGTTACATCTGCCCCAGATAAATTGCCCACCTCATATCATAAGTCTCAAAATTGTAAGAGAAACTGATCATAAATTGCAATTTGGTCACCCATATTGCTTGTATTCCTTGTCAAAATATGATCTACGAGCTTTATGCATGTGATGAGAAAGTGTTCAACGGACGAGTGAAAGCAGTCGGAGTTCCCTTGAACGAAAACAGCAGTCGTATTGAAACTGCAAAAATTTCTTCAGACGATTCATATTCAGGAAAAGCATAACGATCAGCAATAACAAGTCAACCCGAAATTTAAAATATTGGATATTGAACAAGTCGAGTCTATAATTTGGTAGTTAATACAATCCAAACGGGTAAAAAAATTACAATCAAAATGTGATCCAGAAAGAGCTTTTGCTAAGTATATGTTACAACTTGATTGTTCATCACACAGTCATCATCGATCACTACTACCGTAAAGAATTCAAAATCCTGAAGCCTCTCTAATTTTATAAACATATCTTCAGAAATTTCTATCCTATCAAGCAAATGGACCTGCAACACAAAGAAAATGACGAGGGAATTAGATCATCTATATTCCACGTGCAATCGGGTTTGGCAATAATACTGAGGAAGAGGCGAAGAAAGTACAAGTACAAACTGGAACGTACCAATTTAGACCATATAATGCTAACCAAAGAGGTTACAACTGAATAGACACATAATAGCATGAAAAGGGAAGAAACAATTCTAAAAGTTAAACACGATAATGAAGTACTGTTTAAATTATTCAATCAATCACTGCCATTCGTAACTCAAGCATTCTCATATGGCATTGAAATTATTAATGCTTGCTCACAAATAGGTCAAATAGATAAGCTACATTCCTAGTATGTCAAAAAGAACGTCAAAAATTGAAACTCGTACCTTGCTGCTCTTCCTTAATAGGAGGTTCCAAGAAGTTTGTATCAGTTCCTAGGAATGGCGATCTAGAATAGCTCTCTAATATATCTGAAAACAGTAAATCATATAATTCATAAACACAAGAAATTGGACAAGATATTACCTAAAGGAGTTCACTTGAACTAACAAATTAATCACAATTTGTACACTGTTACTCAATTTATGACAGTTTCTTGTTGGTCGCTACATTTATTCCAAGTAGTAACTAATGCCTCAAAAGTTCCAAATTCATGATGAGTCCTTTTGCAAATAGGAGGGACTTCAATTGCAAATAGGAGATAAGATTGGATTGTGATTATTTTCTAGGATCACTTCCGGACTCATGTTGGAACATAAATGCCAAGTGTTATAATCTGTAATGGAAACAAATTGGCAGAGAGCGATCATTACATGGTCAGCTGAAATTGTGTAGAATTTGGTCGTGCAATCTTTTCCTATAAATTAACTAGAATTTGGTCGTGCAATCTTTTCCTATAAATTAACATATTTTCTCTTCTTTTCATGTACACGAGTAGAGAGTTTAGCAAACAAAATTTTAAGCCTAGCATCCTGATTTTTTCCTATTCTCTTTGTGGGATGTTTAAATGGTAGAAATTGGCTGGTGTGGTAAAGCTTAGGGTATTTTTCCTATAATATTTGGGGGTTTGGGTGAGTGAAATTCTATATGATCGCACAAATTTTTCATATAGTGAGTTTTGACAGTCCGTAAATATTTTCATCTTATTTTTACATTTTTCTTGTCTGCTATTTTTTTCTGTACAATAAAAATCATGTGAGCAAATAAAGGGAATTTGTCTTAATTCCCAACAAAATTTCACTTTGTTTCAGTTTAGTGACTGTTGAATTCAGTGAGTTCTTCTGGTGGAGTCCAACGTCAAAGACAACAATTTGACATGGTTTCAACTTAGATGTCTTCCATGTTGAACATTCGGTTAGAAAAAATAACAAATTTTAACCGAGTGACTTAAACTGAAATGGAAAGAATTTAAGCAACCACTTTAAAACAAAATACGTAGTGTGACGAAACTTCGCCATCAGTTGAGAGAGAGAGAGAGCTAACCGGTACTATTGGAAAAGTCAGCTGTTAAGTCAGAAAAACTGAAGTTTCGGGGAATCTGTCCCAAGAATCCAAACATATTTGTGTCGGCTTCCAAGATATTCTCATTCAAAGGTTGTGAATTAGACACCACAGAACTGAAAGATGAAACAGGTGCATCCCCTATTCCATTATGAGTTTCGAGAAGATTACTGTCTCCACCAAACATGAAAGGAGAATCACCCGTATAGCCCTCTTCTGACTTAATTATTCCGCCATCTATTCCCTCTAAAATTCCTGAATGTGAACTCTGAGCCAATAGCATGTCATCTGATACCACATCAACAGGAATTTGGATGGATGGCTGTTGGGAAGATGCTCTGCTAGTGTAAGCATTATGTATGATACTAATAGCGTGGTCCATGTTTTCGGGCTTTAAAGCTCCAGCACGTTCTGGAGTATGGTTAGCCGAGTTGTTGTGCACTGCCAAAATGAAATCACGATAATTTTCTACTCAGTCGAGCTCACTGTAATTGCAGAAGAAATAGCCACAAATTTTCTTTTATTTTTTCTCAAAGGCACTATCAGATCCCAGTACAAAACTTAGTAATAGACATGCATAAATAAAATTTTCAGGGATCCCATATTCATGCGTGGCTGAGTGTGTATGCATCCAAGTGTGTGTGTGAACAAACCTCACAGAAACACATTCCCCAAAGAATGGCATAAACATTTAAGACACATTCGGCAAGATTGTTTATTATAGCATTAGACAGTATTAAAGAAAAAGAAAAGAGAAGCTAAAAGCTTGTTAAGTGTACAATACATCGAGTCCATGCTAATTATATTGAGGATTGTGTACCAAACATGCTCTAAAGTTTCAAGAATCATCTGTTTACATATGATCAATTATTATCAATAATTAAGAAACTCATTAAGAGAATAACGTTGGAAACTGTTATAGCTCATGTCCAATACATCGAAGACCAAATAAATAGATTCAATATGAAGCTGAGAAGAGGGTTACAGAACGAAATTGTTAGAAAATGGCGGCCTTGTGGTCGAGCTGACCTTTACTTTGTGGTTTTCAGAGATCTCCTATTTTAAGTGTTTTTAATCACTTTCGAGGAGGGTCTGTTGTTGTGCTTTAAGGTCGGACACCAACATGCTTGGTGATTAAATCTAGGAAGAGATGCTAATGCGACCATATATGTACACATCTAACAGTGGTTTGTCCATGTACGATACTGGTTGTTTTCTGTCATAAAGAAAACTCAGAACTTATCAAGAAGTGAGCTTACATGGGTGAAGCTGAGATCCATTAGACAGTAGAGTGGAAGCAACTCCAGTTGGACATATTTGGCGAATGAGCTCAACCTGTGTTTCAAGCAACTGATTGAATTGCAATATCTGCTCCTTCACTAACAACCTCAGATAATATGCCTTGAAAAATCTTCGATTTTCAGTCTCAAGTTTTTGCCACACTGGAAGGAGAATCCAAAAGTTAAAACAAATGAATTTCAATTTTAAGTCGCAATTATTAAGGGCAGGAATAAAAGTTTACAAAACTTGTTCTGACTTAATAATATTGATGTCCTTCCATATAGTGGAAGTTTTTTAACTCCGAAAATAGAAGAAACACAACTCGATTATTTAAATTCAATTAGGAATTCAGATTCTGCTGGATTAGTTTAAATTCAATTACGAGTTATCTAATTTTCTATTTGGTTTGAATTTTTTATTTGATTAACTTGATTTCCATGATTTTTTATACACCATGTGTGACTATCTCCCTGTCCTGCAAAATACTCTGTTTAAACTTTGAAGAACCCAAACAAAATCGACAAAAATTTCTATTCAAGAAATTGAGATTACCAAGCTCCGTGAAACCAGGCTCGATTTTTGCCTGGTGTAAGAGGGTGTTCACAACTTCCTTCTGGCTCATGTAAAGCTGAAGGCACCTTTCAATAAGATTTTGAACCTGATATTAAAGATGATAAAAGTAAGGTTCCCAAGAAACCAGTGGCGGTTAAAGGTTCTTATTTTGGTGGAACGATTTTGAATTGAGGTTGTTAGAAGCGCAATTAACAAAACTAAAAAGAAAAAAATCTTTAGCCCTATAGAAATCATGCCATCCTTGTGGAAATAGTAAAATTATTTACTTCTAGAGAATCTAATCAGTGCGAAAAAAAAATCCTTCCATGCTGGCCAATAACGGTCGGACGTCTTGTACCGACAATTTTGATATCGAGTCATACAAAATTTGCACCTGGTCTAATAGTGGTCAATCTCGTCTCACATCAATGGGTTTTTGAAATTTACAGCATTGTAAATTCCAGTCGCAACAAAAACAAGGAGGCCAAATGCATATATCACGAAAAATTCAAATCTCTCTCCATTTCTCTCCACCTTGGTTTCACTTCAAAGCAACAAATTAACAGCATCTTGTCATTCAATCCTTTATTCTCTACCAACAGATAGATGTTCACTGATCCTAATATTCTATTAGCACTTGATCTTCAATTGAATGATTATATTTATGATTAAACAGCTAAGAAATCACAGGAATGGAGGAAGGAGAGGAGTAGAAACTATTAGTCAATTTTAAGAAAAGAATGAACTTCGTGGAATGCATGCTAGTATGGAAAAATGACTGGAGAAGGGCGGAAGAGGTAAGTTATATGGTTCAAATAGAAGGGTCATGATATTGTTTATCTCAACCGTGTAAACTTTTAAACTAGTCTCTTTCATTTTTCAAAGAGGGACCTTTCTACATTTTTCATAAATATAATTTCTTTTGGGGTAATCTATCGTTTTGTTCAAATAAATTCGTTCTCTCTATCATAATCTGTCTAACAACCTTGTTTATACATATGTTTATACTTCCTTGTTTAGTCATCAACAAAGAAGTATAAACATATTAATCTGTCTATATGAACTGTAAATAAAATTTAACGTGATAAATCGGATAATATATTCAAGAGTAGACATTACTGGTACCTTATCAATTACCATACAACAAAAATCCAAGACATTCTCCAGTGCAGTATTTATAACATTGATTCTATAGAAAAAATTAGGATCGTATTAATCATTAATATTGAATAAGGTTCCCTGCTAATTTTAGTCACCCATTTCATAATTTCCCTGGTAACCAAACCAAACTCAAGTGGCGTTAACTGACTCTCTTTTCTGGAGCCATAAACTTTGAGCTTTTCATAAAAGTTGGTTTGCTTTATGCACCAAGATTTCAACATCCTCATATTAAATTGCAATTCAGACATTTGATAAGAGGGCAAAGCAAATGCATAATGCCGAAAATTTAGTCTTCCAAGTAAATCAGTATTTCAAATTATTACCTAATGCAGCACAAGAAACAAAGTTCCTAGCTAATAATACTCTCACGACCTTTATACTGAAATCCCAGTATGTGGATAAGAAATGGTAGTTGATTCAGTAATAGCACACAAACTCATCAATCGAGCTGTTTGATTCATTTACGAAACTCAGTTCTTCATGCAAGCATGATTCCTATAGTGAACACTGAACATCCTTAAATAATTATAGGTTACTAAGCATAGTTCAGTTCCACTGAAGTTGTCGGCCATAGGGAAATTTTACTTTTGAATATAAGAAGATTTTTCATGTCCCCTTGCACTTCTCTTCGAATTTATTAGATCAATTATACATTTGGCAAGATGATTTTGTTGAATCTATAAGATCAATTATAGGTTTAGCAAGTTAGAGGGTGAGCCTTGCAGAGGAAAAAATGTTGTCTTGACAGGTGTGTCATACCAATGGCTCCAAAATACGCTTCACGAGAATGATTGTGCATCTAGGATGTCCATCAAAACTCAAGAAAGACAAGATGTAAAACATGGAAAGGAATTTCTCTACACAACTATGCTAAAACGATTTGTGCCCTTTCTTGGCAAGGACTGTAGTTCGTCAAATTTATTAACAATTGTATTATTAAACATAAATTTGCAGGGACATATAATATGTTATAGAATTTTATGAATTATCATATAACAAAAAAATATATGAAATTATAGAATCAAATTTGCGTATATAAATCGCAAAAAATAGGAGCCAGACTACTTACCAGCTGTATATCTTCAAGAGATACTTTTCTAACTTCTCCGTTGGACATTTTGCAACTTTGCCAACCAGATACACACTTAAATTTGAGCAATTAGCTTTCTATGCCACCGTACCTAGCAAGGCTTTTCTCCAGCTTTAGCATACAGTTATAGAGATGCAATCTGTAATACCCAAAAGCATAACAGCAACATGCCATTAGTTAAATTAACGTATAAAGAAGCCAAAGGAGGGCGGAAAAAAGAGGAGGAAAAGTACAGAATCAACAGGGTTAGATTTCCTAATAAGTCATATAAGAAAAGGCAATGGCGAAGGAATGATAGATGGTACAACTGAAAAGCCACACTAACAATATAGATTTTTAAGTACATATTGGAACAATTTTAGGGTCGGCTACGCGAATATTTTTGCATTAAATCTATCGCTACATCTACCAAAAGTCCAAAAGTCAAATATTTTGAAACCACGTCAATCCAGGCATTACAACATTACAATGTCCTCAAGTCCTCCTTAGGACAAGATGATCATCTATACTTCACTCAATAATCAACTGAAATTGTCTCGGTGAATAGAAAGTAAAACTACGGGACTAGTGACTGCTTGATTGTATGTTTATAATATTAACACATCTACCATGCCACTAGATCTACACTAGTGATTGCTTGATCGTATGTTTATAATATTAACACATCTAATGATAATTTCTTCGCTCCACCACTGACAATAGCGCTTGTCTGGACATCCTATCATAAAATATTTTTCAGTCAATAAAAATCAAATGTCATTTTGTTTCTTTTCTATATATTCCCATAAAGCTCCAAGACAGATTCATTACTTCCACAACACGACTCCCTGGCATCAAACCAAATTGGTACTCGGTGCCTTTGAGTTACGCCGTAAACAATGCTCATTCATTCCTCTCTTAATACTGTCGGATAAATTGTGAGCTTATTACTCTATAATTTGTAAAATCTAGGATATCTCCTCAGTATAAATGAAATATGATTAAACCAATTTTAAAACATAAACCTTCTATTAGAGGCTTATACCTCTTATTACACTTTCACTTCCTCAGAAACTTCCAAGTTAAAGATTTCATGAAACTTTTCATTTAAAACATATACTAAATAAATATTCTTTGTTTTAATTACAAGATAATCTTTTATTAACATCATTCTGATGAATTTGGTTCTAAATTCAAAATAATTAAAACGACTCTTAAATCAACACAAAACTCAGTAAAACAAAGAAAAACAAATCTAATCTTTAGCCAAAATAACAATAACCCATTAATATTCAGCCACAGAAAAGCTCAAAAATCATCAAAAAAATTCAACAAAACATAGGGAAAAAATCAAATCTTTAGCCAATATATCAATAATCCACAAATATTCAGCCCGAGAAAAACTCAAAAATCATAAATATAAAATTTTCGACATAAAATAAGGTTGAAAATAAGTCTAAAGTAACAAATTTGTTGATTAAACATTGCGTTACCTTAAATTTCATCTGAATTTTGGGAACCTCTCGAATTACGTACGGGCTTTACCATTTGTGGATGAATTTCCAGAAATTTATAATTTCAAGAAAATATTGAACTTGTCGCTGCAATGTACAAGATTCACTCAATAATGTACAATCTATAAAAGCGGGTCTGCATTGACATTTGTGTATTGCTGTCCCAGTCAAAGATTAGAAAGTAAAAGGAGAAAATGAGTAAATGTTAGAAAAAATAATTATTTTGATTAAAGTTGCAAAAATTATTTATTTACTTATTTTAATAATAACTTTGAGCATTACTTTTTTTTTTTTTTTTTTGAAGCAAGAAACGATGTAAGTTATGTCTCGTATTCCTTAACATTATCATTAAATTACTTCCTATAAAAAATTATATTTATAAAATAAAGTGTTTTAAGTAATACTTTCACCATTATTCTTATTCAAATTTCAAACCCAATATTTTCTTTGGTAAACAAAAAATATGGTTAGGATATAAACCCATAAATGGACCTCTTCTCCCCTCCAAAGAGAAGATCCTAACTAGTCAAGAATGGTGGCTATTTTTTTGAAAAAAATGCATTGTTTTGAATATTGAATTTTTAGAGAATACGTGATTACAAAAATAGGGGAAAATAAGAGACGAATAGGAGTTAAAGTAAATTATGCAAACTTTTGTACGTCAATGTTTGACTAGAGGTGTAAACGACTCGATATATCTAGGGTCTAGATGACCTAAGTAACCATGTCAACAATATGCGCACACCCTTGGAAGTTTTGAACACGACGACTCTCCCAACTCGAGCTATATTAAACCTCACGTTTTTCTACATAGGCTTGGTGAAGCTGGACCGGGATAAAAAGTGGGCAGCCCACGACACATCCATGTTTGTCTAATCAAACTAATGCTCCTTAAACAAGAACAAAATTTGTTGAAAGTTTTTTCATGTAAAATGTGTACAGATGTTATCATCATATTTATGAAACTCTCATTGTGTCTCTCTCTGTACATGTCTCTTAATGTTTGTATTAACAACATTATTAAACTAAGATAAAGGGTTAATAATTTTCAAATCGTGAAAAAGAAAATTATTTGCTATGATTAACTAGACACCACAGTTAGGTCATTGTATCTAGGTCTTGTTCTGTCTGGGGAAGAAAGCTCTTCATCCATGCCCTTCCTCTTGTTATTACTCGATTGTGGTGGCTGCTGTTCTGATTGTGGCGGCGGCAGTGGTGGCTGCTGTTCTGATTGTGGTGACAGTGGTGGTGATTCTTGCTTTTTAGCTTTCATCATATGGGGTTTAAGCTTATTTACGTCTGACAATCTCACTGGCTTGAGGAAAAATTCCTTCGCTCCTTCTTCTAAGCATCTGTAAATGTGACAATTAATAAGCCAGACGACCAACAAATAATTTACATAGCCGACTCCAAACTTAAACGTCAAACTATTCTTACCTATTGATTCTTGAGGGCTCATTCTCAGAAGACATAATGACTACTGGTATGTTTCTCAGAGATGAAGATTCCTGCAAAACAATTGGAAGCCCACTTGTTTATTAGAGTTGTTCTCCATAGAAACTCCACCTAATTTTCAATCTTTCGATCCATGGAAGATGTAATTATCTAGAGTCTAGAGAAATAAATGCAACAACAAACCCCGGCCAAGTTTCAATAAATTTGGGATTTCGCTCGAGCCATCACTAGATTTGCTTAAAGATCTAATTAGATTCTTAGTAAATACATTGAATAAGTGCAAAGTGTTGACAAAATCGCTTTTTCAGAGATTAATTATAAGTAGATTTATGCCATGAGAAAAAAAATTCATAAAAGCCTAAAGCAATGGGGGTGACCATGTGGAATAGTAAATGCACTTTCAATATCAAATTACCAAAATATAAAGATTTTGTTAAGATTTCTTCAGATCTCAAATGAATGGTGTGCACAACTTTTCAGAATACATCAATCCCAGATTGATACACAGCTAGAATTAGCAAATTTTGTGGAAGAACATTTTCCAAAAATGAAAAATGAGGTCTTGGAAAAGATGCAAAATCATTTTTTTTTCTTTAACAAAGAAGTGCCTACATAGTTGCTAAGAATCTAGTTGCGTTCAATTCCGGCCATATAAAAAGATTTAAGCAGCCCACTCCATAATATCAAAAATAAGAGTTAGAGAGCTAAAAGTAAGTCCAGTTACTTTTCGCAGGGTCGATTACTAACAATTCTGGTAAAGTAACTTTTAAACAGAACTCTAAATTTTTTCACAATATAAAAGAATTTACATAAAAGGAATAGAATAGAATTCAAGAAATTGTACCTTGATTTTCTTGAGTAAATCATACCCAGTCATTCCAGGCATGCAATAGTCTGTAATAACAAGATTTACTTCCACTTCCTGTAAATACGAAGAAATTTTCAGACTACATAGAAAAAAAATACCCTAGTCACCTATCAATCTTCTACAAACTAAGAAAAATGAAAGGAATAGAAAATTCCAAGCATACAATAGTCTATAATAATAAGATTTACTTCCACTTCCTGTAAATACTAAGTAACTTAATTTTCAAACAACTTAGAAAAATAATACCCCAAGTCAAATCCTATCAATCTACTACAACCTAAGAAAAATGAAAGGAACAGAAAATTGGCAAAATAAATTTCACCTCATGGTCTTGAGGAGAAACAGAGGTTCCATCAGTGTTTTTTCTGTCATCTTCATGCTAACCAAGAAATTCTAAAGCTTTGCTACCAGAATCCACTGTAGTAACTGCTATGAAACAATGCACAAAACCCACAAAAATAAACTCACAAATTTGATTTCCAAATCGAAAAAAAAAATCCTATTCTTTTGGGAGACAAATAGGTACCTATAAAAGAAGAGGTTTTAAGTAGCCTTTCAATGAGCTTTCTGTCTATTAGGCTATCATCAACAGCAAGAACATGAAACTGTGAGTCTGAGGCAGCCATTCCCATTGCTCCAATTTCAATCTTCAATAACACAATATGAATTCCAAGAAGAACAAGAGAGAGAAGGATGAGAGATAGAGAAGGGTTCTTTGATTAGTATTGAGATTGTTTCGGTTTTTGCATTTGTGATTCTGAAGAGGAAATGGGGTAGTGTTGAATTGGAATAAGACTTGAGAAAATCCACAACCCACAAAGCAAGATCTGACCAAATTTCATCCAAAGATTTTGCAAGATTTTTCCAACTTCGAATTGAATTTCAAGGCAAGCAATAGGGTGTGTATACAGTTGAATAAAAAATAAAGAATTGTGTAGAACAAGGAGATTAATTTGTATTGATTCTTGGTGGGTTGGGCTTTTATATGTAAGATATAAATGTTTAGAGGAAATTGCACTTGGGTCTCTCACTTATTTTTTCCTTAGCAATTTGGTATTCAATTTTTTGAAGAAGAGTAAATTGGTTTTAATATTAATCAGTATCAATGTTCTAAAACGGTGAAGTATCGACGGCAAGGTCAAGTTCAAATCTTTACGAATCTAGTGAGGGCAAACTTCACGCACAATCAAATTTTTTGAAATACTGATCAA